TCCTAAAAGATCTATATCTGGGATTATCAGCACTAAATAATATGTGTTGTTAAATTCCTTCAGCTCGTCATCAACACTTTTTGCTGCACATTTTTCTCAGCAAATGCAGATGTCTGGAATACATTATCAGCCTACTCATGAGTAAGGAGAAAACGACAGTCAATAATAATTGTCACACATCTAGGATCACCGTTTCATTTATTCTAAATAGTGTATGGTGTAAAAGCCGTTACATCCGTCCACCTTCGTAGTGTTGCACACATTTACACAGGCACTTGAATTATCAATACCAGCATCATGTGTTGAACACTAGGATGTGAGAGTTGTCATTGATAATTAATTTGCTTGAATAGTGAAATGGCTGGGACATTTGTTGCACAGGCAGATACATTCAACAGAAAACGAGTCGGTGAGCGAACAGTTGTTTTCGGATATTCTTAGTCCTGCTCTTACATGTCATATACGGGTAAAATTCTTACATAATGATAGCCATTGGATCACTTCCATTACTCTCTGCCTCCGATTATTGACCTTAAATTGAACCAATGGCTATCATTATGTAAGAACTTTTTCTACCGTATGATATATAAGGGCAGGACTAGGAATATCCGAAAACAATTGTTCGCTCACCGACTCGTTTTCTCAATGCTATCATGGGAACATTCAACATAATTCGGGTAATTTGGAATGGGATATGGTGAGTGGATGTAATCAGTGGATCAAGCTTACAACTTTGTGTTACGCTTCACAATTAATAGAACCTGTAAGATTTGTCCTATGCCGACGTCAGTTGTGATGGTTTGACTTCATGGTATCCCTCTGCACTTTACATTTATCAGTACTATACATTTTGTGTTTTTTATTACAGAGGTGATTTGTAAAGAGAACACCATCAGTTAAGGTCAATCGACCAATTACTGAATTTCCAGGTCCATTTTAGCCCTAGCAAGTACGATCATCTATTTTCATTTCCGGATAGTCACAACAGTTGTTATTCTCCTCTTATTGGTAGTGCTTTGTAGCATTTTTCAAGTATGACTTCGCCTTGTTCTACTACTACTTGTCTTATCAAAGACTCACAAACTTTCTTAGTTCCTGTGAGGTAGAACGTGCATTCCACTTGAGCTTTTGGTCAGCTCCTGGTTAATAGAATGAAGACTTTGGCAAAGTGAATAAGTGAAGTTAGAGAAAATCTATGCTTCCTAAAGTACGCCGAAGTCATCGTTTCGCTGTTCGAATTTATGGAGGATGCACAAAGTGCACTTGACAGACTAGCAAGTTCTGTTGCTCCGTTCGGCATGCGCTTCCTACCTTCAAAGTTCAAAGTGATACTGCAACACTGGGTGTTGGTGAGTCCGGTTCCGAAACTAGACGGGCGCGATGTTGCTGAAGTTGAATTCTTCTCTCCTCTTGAATAACCGCATCAGCGAACTAGGTAGCGCTTCGAATGAGGTAACAGGCCCTATTTCCATGCGTCGGCCTGCGGCGGCAAAAATAAAGCTATTATATAGTTAACCTGAGGTTTCATTGAAGTTAACATGTTATGTATACTTCGCCACTGCACGATTAGTTCTGCTTTGTGGTTGGGAAACCTAATATTTGCAGGTAGAAGAGATCCGTTGACTAGTGGTTTTCGACAGTGGATGCAGGTTGGATGGAGTGAGCGGGTTAGTAACCTATACGTAGGTTGTCGGTTGTTTGGGGGTGCATCGAACAATAAATCGCTATCACATCGAATTCAATTCTGTAGGCTCCGTTGGTTAGGACATGTTTTGCGTATGCAAAACGGTCGCCTACCGCATTGCGCCTTATATGCAGTCAGCGCTGCTCTCCAGAGAAAGCCACATGTAGGATAGCAGACGACGTGAAGACGAGGCATTAAGAACTGCACAGGGCGGCTAGATGGAGTAGGTGTCACTCGTCTTCAGGGTTGAGTTTCAAAAGACTCCGTAACAGGATGGTTGGAGACACTGAAGGACATGACAGCAAACCGACAGCAGTGGCGATCTTGCTGTCATTTGTTATCAGTTCCGAATGCTTGAAATAGTACGTATGAACAGTTGGACTGTGTACTCTGTATGTTGACCGAAGAGGTTCGCTCTATTTTCCTGCCCTAAAAATATGCCCAATTCCTATCCTCCTCACACGTTCTCACTCACCTGGTATGCATTTTGAGTGAAGTTCGCTTCGCTGTACTACGCTGTACGATAATGATGACAAGGCGGCGTTCTTCATCTAGTCAGGTCTTAACATTTCTTCACTTCCTATAAGGATACCACTGGATTTCGCTACAACTTTCTAATATGAGTCTAAGAAAAATGGTTATTTTGAGTGTTTCCTACATATGTGATGATCGTACACTGAACACTTCGATAAGGTATTAAGAATTTCAACAAGATCCACTCCTATGACCACTGCAAATGATTGTTTTTGAAAGAGAATCTGACTGAAGACAATGTTGTGTGAAATTTGAGAAACATTACGCATTATTGGCTTTCATCAGCTTCTCGTACCATTTTTCAGCGGCTCCTAAGCGTGGAGCATCATGCACTCCATCGGTACTTACGACTATGAAACTTGAACATTTTAGAGCCCAGGATGATAACAAAATGTGGAAAACCTTTATTTATGGTGTCTACATTACGCAGCGGAAAATGGTCAGACCGGATCTGAAACCGAAATATTAGCCACCGGTGCGCCAACGCAGATCTGCGGCCCTCGTGCAGTGATTCAGCCATATTATGGGAAGGAAATCAAATGAAATTACTAAACGAAGCCTTAGCCCCATGGCTTTTCCGATGTGGCGCAACGGCTGCGAAGAACACCAGAAGACCTGGATCTCCACAGTCCAAGCGGACTGGAAGCCTTTGGGTCAACGAAAAGTGTACAGCTCCTGGAACTGTAATCTTCGCCGAATTGAATTCTAAGTTGAACTATCTCCGGAGCTCCATGCATGAACAGCCACAATAAGAAACATGTGCGAAGCCTTCTTATCCTCATGCAGGAGTTACTTGCATGGATGTGAAACTAGGTAATCATTTTTGCTCAAATTCCGATACTATCAGTTGTCTATGAGATTGTCCACCGTTTTGATGTGTGTATCTTATCGTGACTTGAACCTTTCTGAACTTTGACAGTGCCCAGAATCGGGGAACCATCGTGCAACGTGAACAGTTTTCGAAATTGATTATAATGACAAGTAGACAGCCATTGGATAGAGGCCACCTGGCTGTTGCACAACAACATAAAATACAATACAAATTGTTTTCGTTTTTACTGCACACCAAGATTGACGATTTGGATGACCCAGAATTTCTCTTGGCTGTCACCTAACTAGGCTTTAGATACTCAGCAATATTTAAACGGCTCTATCCTTCTTGACCTCAAAATACATTGATTTATTCACTACAAATTGACAATTGACCGTCGCGAAATCACTGTAAACCTCGGAAGCACAGATCTGAGAGTACGGTGTGCAACACACACAAACACAGACAAACATACGCGAAGTGAACGATTCCTCACATTTTATTGTTCTCCTCCCAACCCCTAGGAGTTTTCCCTCATATAAACTGTAACGGCATGATTATGAGTTACTGAAAACAACTGTTTGCCTGAAATTTGTGTTCTAAATGTGAGAATGGGCACATTCCGAAACTTGAAATGCGTGAATGATAGCTGCTGAATTGAATCGATCAGCCTAATCAATTTTCATTGGCATTTCATCTGTTTCCGTAATAGTAATAGGCAGTATTAAACGAAATACGAAAAACAAAACATATTTGGGTCCTTTTTGATTGCGCTTTTTGAAAAAATTAAATAAGCCCTCCTGTGCAGAGTTTGCGGCAGCACAAATAACCGGAGCAGGAAAATGAGAGAAAGGAAACCACATAGGAAGGGTATGCATATCGGAAGAAGAGAGGCAGCGGTAAGGGAGAGTCATGCATCGGTATGTTGAGTACTCTAAATTGTACATCGATTGCTTGGAGTGGTGAGCTGAGAACGTGCTGGCGAAACCTTTGACGGATGTGTGTTACAGAGTGAAAATTGCGATGGATTCGTGATAGACATTCTGGGCGCTATGATGTGCAAGCATCACCCACAACAAATTGTACAAATACGTGATGAGGTATGGGATCAAATTTGGAGCGAGAGAGAGAGAGCAGGGCGGGGGTGGTTATTCACATGAATACCGGTGCGGGTCATCTGTACAACTACTCTGTGCTCACCCTCTGATTGTTGTTTTTCTGAGATGCACGGCGGTTGAGGTGGATGGGGGGGGCGAATAAAGCTGGAAATTCTGGGTCAGCAGTGAAAATGGGGTGTCTGTGTGTGTGCGAGAGAGATAGAGGGTGTGGGCAAATGCAGATAGTGAGTTATACTCACACCAACGCCTTTTGCGAGAGAAATGACATCAGATTGTATTGGTAAATATCCCAATCATTTTGTAGGTGACATGAGAAGAATTAATGGGATCGAGCGAAATGTATGGTGCA